CCTTTCCAACCCAAACCATTCTGTGATTAGTCAAGCATGATTTGCCCTTGGTGAAGTCATGAACAGTTTAAAACATGAAAGTTTAAAAAGGAAACTGCCTATGCAAAATGAGCCTGAGCAAACATATGCAAAGACTACCTAAATTGGTCCAGGAAGGCATAAAGTGTGCTATAAAAAACCTACAGTAAACTCAGTGTTTTGAGAACCCTAACAGAAAAAACTCTTACGGGGCAAACGGATGCTGTTAAAAATTCAGCACTAAAAAAATCTCAATATACAACTAACCAGAAAAGCTGAAGACAGTGGTTATCTAAATCAAATTCCAAAGTTTAATATTCCTTGGATTTATCAAATCATTCACCGCTTGTATTCTACACCTGTATCATGATTCATGAAGCAATTCTAAATTTCAACTAAACTATTCAGACTATTAATTACAAGAAACAAACAAACAAAAAAGAGTTTGAAAAGAAAAATCTCACATTCATTTGCTCAAGGGAAAATTATTTTAGTAGATGAGAAACATTAGTAATTTTTATTTACACAACAAATAAACAGTGATTTTACTGCAATTAGAAATACAGGATTTAACTGAAAAGAAAAAACCCTACCTTCTTCCATGGACATTCGAACAGCCAAAATTCCGTCAGGAAAAATGTGTAACACAAATAAGAACAGGGTAGGAAACTGAGGGTAACACATTACTCTGGAAGTCCAAAATAAATTAACTATTCCACTGTTTGAGTCATTTTGTTTGGAGTTCTTTCAAGTTACATTTTGAACTTACTTTTTTAGTTTTCTGGAAGTACAGTTCTGGAAAAGCATGAAACCAGTATGCCAACTGTAAGATGTAGAAAAACTTCATTTGAAACCTGTACAATATAGCAAGAATTGAAGAATATTACTTTTTATTAATGAATTTAAAACATTTCAGAAGCTTTCTACAACACAATAACTGTCTCTAAAGAAAGAAAAATATAGATCCTTCCTGCCAGTCAACTCAAAAGTTAAGGTTTTTTTAAAAAAACAAAATCATTAAGATAAATAAAGCTTGCAAAAACTTAATTCTTTAAATAATAGCCTACAGAAAGGGAACTCCGCATACTACAAAATGACAAAGAACCAAGTTCCTCCATAAACAGGAGTAAAAATACGTTAGTGACTGATGTAGTTTTTCAGACTGCTTACTCTACATAGACTGTATGTGACACGCCCTAAGTTTAAAACACTCCATCCTCCCCCCAACAAACCTCTAAAGAAGATGCCTTACGGAATCAGAGTGTGTGGATAGTCCCTCCACAGAGAGGTTGGATCCGATATATAGTTCTCCTGAAAATGACAAAAAAACACCCCAATAAATCCTCAAAGACGCTAATTCCTAGTAAGAAATAATGAAATGAATATACAAACCTGTACGTATTTACGTATATGCGCGTGTGTACATACAAACGTGTGCAGAGCTACACACACAAGTAAAAGCTGTAGATCAATAGACTTCCTTTCACAAAAAAAACCCAAAACTCCAAAAGACAGCTGTATTTCTTAGAAAAGTAAAAAGCAACCAAACAAACCAAGCGTTCATTCAAGATACAATGTCCTCATGTGATGGAGGTTATTTCAGCATCACTACAGCCTAAGTCTTCCCTTTAAACTGCTGACAAGCTTTGAGCTTAACTAAGAGAAAGAAGTTTTTTCAGGAGTCATGTTAAGGAAAAAAAAAAAAAAACCAACATACTCACTCTCTTTGAAACTAAGTGCATACACATACAGCCACTAGAAAAGAGCGTGTCTTCTGAAAGCACACACTGACCCGAGCCTACAGCAATCTGTCCATATACCTATTCTCTACGCTGCCAAAATGCTATCTATGATGCCTTTTTAAAAATTTATTTTACACTAATAAGCCAACACAGAGAATGAAATACCATAATGGAGTTTAAGAGTTCTACCTTATTCGTTTGACAGTAAATCAAATTAACTCAGACTTAGCAACAGTAACACTATTTGACTTCATACTCAGTTATGACTACAACCCACACAAAATCCCTGAACTTGTCCCTCTTTAATATTAAAACCAGACAAAACAAGAAAAATAACCCAAAAACTTATTTATCATCATCATAAGTGAAGCTTTTGAAATCTCATAATAGAAAAATAAGAGAAAGCATACTTACAGAGACAAGAATACTTGTTCCCCAAACACAGGAGAAAAGGTAGAATGCACTAAGTTGTCCAGACTCATTGAACTTGCTATGCTTTGTTTTTGAAAAGTGCATTTTCCTGTTAATTTTCTGAAATGAAAGTCCACTGTTATTTATGCTGTAGTACTTAACATTTACCTGTTAACTGCATTAGAACATCTAAGAGTTTCAATGCATGTTTTAACAGTTAAAAGCTTTAATGCAAAAGTTTACTTTTAATAGTTTTAAAGTCTAATTAAAACCTGACAATTATCTTGATGAAAGGAATTAATATTTTGTACTTACATCCAGTACATACTCCTGAATTATGGCATGTATGATTATTGCTACAAGCATGTAAAAGAAAATCGTAGCCAAGTCTTTGATGCCATAGTGATAGAGAGAGATTGTTTCTGCAGATTGTTCTTCTAAAAGACAAACAGAATTAACTGTAAGACACCAATACAGTTTAAGGGCTAATAAGTTTGCTTCTCAAAGTGAAACCTTTCACACAGAAGTAGTTTGTAGTCAGCCGAACAAACAGAAGTCAAATTAAACTACCATCATGACCTAGGTCACTAGACTGTCTGCAGTCACCTTCTTCAGCACGTCACAAACTAAATTTGATTCTGGAAAGATGTACCATAAAAATGAAAACTTAAGTGCACTTAGGAAGCTTACTCTAATGCATTGAAAGGGGACTATAAAGTCAAGTCGAACTATCATCCTGCTTTGACTAGTAAAGATTGTCACTTGCAAAACCAGAGTTAAGAATTAATATGAACTTATCTACCAGTCAGATGCTATTTTAGCACTAACGATGAATCTACCAGAACAGAAACACTGTCCCCAACCTAATTAATTAAAATGGAGTTTTACTAAAAACAAAGTGAAGTCCTTGAAAACTGCTTATGACCTATTCAAATCGACATATTCACTTACCTTCAGTTTACAAAGTACAGCATACTAATAATGTCTGAATACACTGTCACATAACTAACCTTCTGCAAGCTACATACCTGTGGCAGGAATGGTAACATTATACTGAAGCGTAACAAAAATGACAGCTGCTTTTGCTGTAATCTGAAAGAAAAAAAGCCAAAAGTGCTATAAATTCTCACCGAAATAAACTACATTAAACTGAAAACATTTGCCCATAGTTTTAGCACCCTTCCCCAGCACGTTTGTCCCCTCCCATAAAACTGATCAACTCACATTATCAGACCATTTCACCTGACTTTCCAGAGGCAGAACACATTGCGTGATCCCTATATGTTTGTTTACAAAATACCCAATCTCTTGAACAAAATATCCTCAAAAATGCTACTTACAAATAGTATTTTCTACAACATTAAAACAAAAACACATGCTGCAATTCTTTCTCCAGTCCATACCTTATTATTACGTTAACAGAACGTACAATATCGTGTAATCCACAGACCACAAGGCATTACAGCAATGGCTGAGAATAAACTTAATTTAAAATTTTAATGACAAAATCAGAAGGTCAGTATTGTGTTTATAAATCTGTGGATGATTTGGAAAATGTGGACAGGAAAGGAGAAAAGGCATAAAGCACGGAGAACCATTTCAGGGCAGCTGCATACCAAGTCAATACAGTTAGCATTCTTTTGACCCTAGGGATCCTTTGGCAAGACGGGTAAAACAAAAGAAATGAAATGTGGTTGTAGGGGTACTAACCTTTCACGATGGACAGTAAGAAAAACCAGAGTCAACAAAAAAGAGGGGGGTTCTAATGGCTTTTTTTGGGGGGGAGGTTTTATTTTATTTCCCTCCTTATTGCTGTAAAAACCCAGCATCCTTGCTGCATTTATAGGACCAACAAAACAAACAAAAGCCTACCAAAAACCCTGAACTCTTCTATGAATCTTGGAAGGATATCTTGAGTATATGAAGAGAATTATTAGAGTACTACCAGCATTTATTATCATTCACAAGAAATAAGATTTGTTTCTTTTTAAAACCAGCACTTTGTAGGCAAGATTTTCTAGGAATCCCTGACTGCTCCATGGACTGTTCACCTAACTTCAGGAAACCCAACTACTTTGCCTGCATTAGTGAAGCTTCCTATGGATCAAGGGAGCCTTCCGAAGACAATTCAAAACATTAGTCAATTCTGAAATGCCCTTGAAGGCTCTGTCAGCTACTCACAAAGTCCTAATTCAGTTGCACAAGTTGGGCAGTATAAACACCTTACCAGACCAACATTAACTGCAGCAGGTGATTTCCAAGACCTATATCAAAGCATTTTAAAAACTGTAACAACCTTCTTAGCTGTACCATATGTGTACCAACAAAGGCATACATACACCAGGGTAAAAGACACACTGGCTTAAAAAAGCCATAAACAAAGACTTCAGCACACCCAATCCCCCCAAAAGTTCCAATCCTACCAGTATTACTCTAAATATAGTAAGCCAGAACTAGACATAAAAGGTAATGGTTTAAGTACACCTCTTTAACCTCAATCCCCAGAAAATGACCATATAAGGAGACTGTCTTCGTAATTTTTGATAGTAAACCCAAACACAACAGCTTTCTTGGTCTGCATTTTTTTTTTCCTAACTCCACTGGTCCTTAGTGCTCAGTACTATCAACAGCTGGATAAAATTATCCTGAACACCATCCATGTAATAAAGGTGCACAACTCTAAACAGACGGCTAAAATCCTGAAAAGCTAGAAACATTTAGCCAACAGAAAACAAGTGGCTTATTTTCACAGGACCCCACTGACAACATTTTGGAAGACACACAGGTAAATTACGTTTTGAGTTCTCTCAGCAGGTGACCGAGAAGAGCCCAAAAGGCACGTTTTACATCAGCAGCCACGCTCAAGCTTTCATTGTGCCCACACAACCCCCACCAGTGCTTACTAACTTTTCACATTACTTAGGAAGAGCTTCAATTACTGCACCCAAGGCGGAGGCCCCACCGCGGCGCCGGGCCTGCCAGC